ACACTTGCACAAAGTCAGGCTTTTTGTAAGATTAGAGTCAGGTGTGTGATTAACCAGTTATGCCAAGCAGGAACAAATGAACATCAATTTAATATGTAGGTTGAAATACTAATTCAGTAGCTGAAACAGAAACAGCTGTGTAGGAGGATTAGAAAATCTGGGTGAGGAACAGTCAAACTCTGCTACTAAGGTGTGGTTGTGGAAAACAGTTTCTTGTCACAGATCATACACATGACAAGACTGAGCACAGCAACAAGACACAATGAGGTCATACTGCATCAGCAAGGTCTCTCCCAGGCAAAGATTTCAAAGTAGATTGGAGTTTCAAGAAGTACTATTTAGGCTTTTTTGGAGATGCACAAAGAAACAGGCAACACTGAGGACCTTCGACGCAAGGGTCGGCCAAGGAAACTTAATGCAGCAGATGAAAGACACAATATGCTTATTTCCCCTTGACATTGGAATCAATGCCATTAGCACAGAACTGGTGGAAACCAGTGGGAGCTAGGTACACCCATCTACTGTCCAGAGAAGTCTGGCTAGAAGTGGTCCAAAAGCCAATACCTTCGACATGGAAAAAGGATAAGTGACTCAACTATGAACAAAAACATGGGAACTGGGATGTAGAAAAATGAGAGTAGGTGCTCTGGACCAATGAGCTAAAAATTTTATTATTTGGCTCTAGTGGGAGGCAGTTTGTTTGCTGTAGGGCTGGAGAGCAGTACAATAATGAGTGTCTGCAGGCAACAGTGAAGCATGGTGAAGGTTTAGGGCTGCATTTCTACAAATGGAGTTGGAGATTTGGTTAAGATTAGAGATGAGCGAATTATTCAAAAATTCGATTCGGCTGATTCGCCGAATTCGCTGAATAAATTCGATTAGAGGCGAATATATTCGCTGCGAACTTATAAAAAGGGTGTTTCTAGGCTTCAGAGAGCCTTTATATTAGTGCAGAACACTGTACCTTTAATTTAAATGCCCTTGGAGTCTGCTGGGGAAGAGAACTAATACTGTCAGTCAGTATGACATGCAGATGAGTGCCGTCGATCTTAGAATCACCGCACACTTCACTCATTTGGGCAGTCACGGGGCCAAAACCAGAGTGTGGAGCCACAGTGTGGCGGTGGAGGCAGCAGCAATGGGAGGCCATACAGCACCCTATGACAAAATGGAACCCACCAGCAGTGTGAGGAGACCTGAAAGTGGCACATGGCAGAGTGTGGCGATGGAGACAGCAGCAATGGGAGGCCGTACAGGGACCCATGACACACTCTGGACCTGGCAGCAGCATGAGGAGGCGGTACAGGGGCCCATGACAGATTACGGGCCTGGCAGCAGCAGTGGGCGGGCGGTGGATGCAGCAGTATTCGGAAGCCAAACACAGGCCTCGGTTAAAAACACGGAAGCAGGCCTAGGTTAAAAAAGCGTCAGCAGCGTGAGCAGACGACAGAGGCACATGGCGCAGGGTGGCGGTGGAGGCAGCAGTATTCGGAAGCCATACACAGGCCTAGGGTTAAAAAAGCGGAAGCCGTCAGCAGCGTGAGCAGACGACAGAGACACATGGCGCAGGGTGGCGGTGGAGGCAGCAGCAATGGAAGGCCATACAGCACCCTATCACAAAATGGAACCCACCAACAGTGTAAGGAGACCTGAAAGTGGCACATGGCAGAGTCTGGCGATGAAGTCAGCAGCAATGGGAGGCCGTACAGGGACCCATGACACACTCTGGACCTGGCAGCAGCAAGAGGAGGCGGTACAGGGGTCCCATGGCAGAGTGGCGAAGCGTAAGCAGCTTAAATTGAAGGCCATACAGAGGCCTATGTTAAAAATAATAACATGTTTGGGGCATGATTCTTGGCGGATTTAGTCAGTTGTGTCAGGAACTGGTGGTTTGAAATCCAGACTAATCCACGCCTGATTCATTTTCACAAACGTGAGTCTCTCCACCTTTGGGTGGACAGTCGTGTCCTCCGCGGAGTTACAATACCTCCTGCCGCACTAAACACGCGCTCCGATGCCACGCTACTGGCCGGGCATGACAGCCTTTCAAGGGCAAATTCAGCTAGTGGGGCCAAAGGTCAAGTTTCGTTGCCCAGTAGTCAAGGGGATTGTCTACCTCGGTTGGCAGGGTGCTGTCCAAGTAGGCCCGAGCCTGTTGTTTGAGGTCCTGCTCCAGGTCCACCTGATGCTGCTGCTGCTGCGGCTGGTTAGTAGTTTCCTCACTGCGCTGGTGAAGAAAGCTACTCATCATCGACTGCAGACTGAGGCAGCCACTGCTGGTGGAGCTGCCACTGCTCCTACCACCCCACCCCTCCCCTGCTGCCATGGCAGCGGAACGCGAGTGCACAGGGCCCACAGTGTCTGAGGATGGACGTTGGCGCAGAAAGGCAGAGACCAACTGACTACATAGGTGGTTTTTATAGTACTTTATTTGGGCCTCCCTCTCAGCAGGTGTGAAAAAGGCCACCATTTTTGAACGGTAGCGAGGGTCCAACAAGGTGGACAGCCAAAAGTCATCCCTCTGTCTGATGGTTATTATTCGGCTGTCGCCACGCAAGCAACCGAGCATGCTATGGGCCATTTGTGCCAAGGAATGCGAGGGACTCCCTGCCTCCATCTCCACAGCATACTGCCACGGTGCGTCTGGGTCCTCTGTCTCCTCCTCCTCCTCTACCAGATGCTCCTGCTCCTCCACTCCTGTCCGCTGAGTGGAAAAACCACCCATTTCACTCAATAATTCCTGAGCACCAATGTCCTCCTCTACCTCCTCCTCTTCTTCCTGTCCTGCCCCCACAGGGGTCATGTGGCGTTGAGATCTGTGCGCCACGTCTACCGCACCCTGACCAGCCATTGTTAACAGCATTTGTTCCAGGACGTGCAACAGAGGAATGATGTAGTTCATCCCATAGTCCTGCCGACTCACGAATAGCGTGGCCTCCTCAAAGGGCCTGAGCAAGCGGCAGGTGTCACGCATGAGCTGCCAATGGCTGACATCTAAGTTACACAGGGGAGTACCTTTATCCGCTTGTAACATCAGGAAATCTGTGATGGCCTTTCGCTGTTCGTAAAGGCGGTCTAACATATGTAGGGTTGAATTCCACCTTGTTGCAACGTCGCAGATCAGGCGATGCTGTGGAATTCCGTTCTGCCGCTGCAGCTCAAGGAGGGTGTGCTTTGCGGTGTAGGAATGGCTGAAATGCATGCAAAGTTTACGTGACATTTTAAGGATGTCTTGCAGTGGGATGGTGGATTTTAGGAACCGCTTGACAACCAGATTGAACACGTGAGCCATGCATGGCGCATGGCACAACCTTCCTTGACGCAGAGCAGACACCATGTTCTTTCCGTTGTCGGTCAACATGGTTCCGATTTTCAGTTTGCGCGGAGACAGCCATCTGTCGATTTCTCTGTTCAGTACACTCAGAAGTTCCTCCCCTGTGTGACTACGTTCGCCAAGGCATACCAGGTGCAGCACAGCGTGACACCGTTGCGCCCTGCACATGTGATATGCCGGTCGGGTAATGGGACTTGGCACGGGGGTGGCGGCTGAGGACACGGCGGAAGAAGAGGTGGTAGAGGCGGACATCTTTGCTGGACCAAGGACGTGCAAACGTGGAGGCAAAAGCGGCGTGACCTGTCCAAGTTGCTGGTGCGGCTGTGCCGGCACCACGTTCACCCAGTGGGCCGTAAATGACATGTACTGTCCCTGACCGTAGTTACAGCTCCACACGTCGGCGCTGCCGTGCACTTTGGCAGAGACCAACATGCTCAAAGACTGGCCCACCATCTCTTCTACATGTGAATGCAGGGCTGGCACTGCCTTTTTGGCGAAGAAATGACGGCACTCTCCAACGCGGGCGGCACAAGCCATCATTTCTCGGAAAGGTGCTGACTCCACCACTTGGAAAGGGAGGGACTGCAGCACCAGCAACTTGGACAGGAGGACGTTCAGCTTCTGCACCGTCAGGTGCGTGCTCGCAACTGTTGTCTCTTGGAAACGGATTCCAAGAAAGACTGCTGACGGAATCCGTGAAGAGGAGTAGCAGGAGAAGGAGCATCTGAACGAGCGGAAGATGCCAACGAGCGACAACTCCCCAGCAGAGGTGTTGGAGCCTTGACTGGCTGATAGAGGGCGATTGACGTCGGGTGACGGAGCAAGTAACGGAGCGGGTGATGGAGCGGGGGCTGGGCAGGCAGAACCGCCGTATCTTTATCACGGTTTTCCCAGGCCACCGAATGGCGACGCTGCATATGCTGACGCAACGCTGTAGTCCCAACATGGGCCCCCTGGCCACGCTTGACTTTCTGGCCACATAGTCGACATACGGCTACGTTTACTTCCTCGGGCGGCTTGACGAAAAATTGCCACACCGCCGAGTAGGAAACTTTGCCCCCACTACTCCTCACTGGCTGACTGCTACTTCCTCCGTGCACACCGGCACCACTACACTACTGGCCGTGGTGGTAGGCTGCAGTGGAGCTGGTGCTCTACTCCGTGGCCGTTTGCCTCCACTGACACTGCTGCGACCCTGCTGCCTCCTGGGCAACCCACCGACTGTTTTGCTCGCTGCCAAGCTGGCACCCTCTTCTCCTGATGATGCGGAAGCAATAGCCTGATGACGACGAGGCTGCCAAGTGCGATCAGCCTCATCATCATCAATTAGGGTCTCCGCCTCACTACTAGCCCCCTCGGCTGCGTGTGGGTCAGGAGACAGACCTGTCTCTAGACCGGCTACCGAGCCACTCTCCTCGCCACTACTCTTCGCCTGGCTGCTGAAGAGGCGGATGTCTCCCCCCGTTCCTGACCGCCCTCTGTTAGCTCTTCCTCACTGTACAGTGGGGCTGAGCCCACAGCATGCGATACTTCGCTTGGTGAGGGAACACAAAGGACAGGGGCAGTAGAGGACACGTGATTTCAGTGGGCTTGCTCCCGGGCCATGCCAACTAACGGTTGTGTCTGACGTACCCACCGACCGTTGGCTGTAGGTGTCAGAGGTGACCTGGGAAGAGGAAGACGACCGAGTCAACCAATCGATGACGGCAGGGTTGTCGGTGGAGACACGACCGCTGGATGACACCGGGAGCACTGGCCTCTGGCTGCGACTAGTGCTGCCTCGACCCCTTCCTCTGCTGCCACGTCTGCTCGCTCCTGAAACATTGCCTCCTCTGCCACTCCTCTGCGTGTTGTCTGACATACTCTTTAATTCAATAGTGGTTGTGAAGCAGAAAGTAACGATTCTGTGTCCCTGAGTAACAATTCTGTGTCCCCGAGTAACGATTCTGTGTCCCCGAGTAACAATTCTGTGTCCCTGAGTAACAAATTCTGTGTCCCTGAGTAACAATTCTGTGTCCCCGAGTAACGATTCTGTGTCCCTGAGTAACGATTCTGTGTCCCTCAGTAACGATTCTGTGTCCCCTGAGTAACGATTCTGTGTCCCCGAGTAACAATTCTGTGTCCCTGAGTACGATTCTGTGTCCTGAGAACGATTCTGTGTCCCCGAGTAACGATTCTGTGTCCCTGAGTAACGATTCTGTGTCCCCGAGTAACAATTCTGTGTCCCCGAGTAACGATTCTGTGTCCCCAGAGTAACGATTCTGTGTCCCCCGAGTAACGATTCTGTGTCCCGAGTAACGATTCTGTGTCCCCGAGTAACGATTCTGTGTCCCCGAGTAACGATTCTGTGTCCCCGAGTAACGATTCTGTGTCCCTGAGTAACGATTCTGTGTCCCCGAGTAACGATTCTGTGTCCCCGAGTAACGATTCTGTGTCCCCGAGTAACGATTCTGTGTCCCCGAGTAACGATTCTGTGTCCCTGAGTAACAATTCTGTGTCCCTGAGTAACAATTCTGTGTCCCCTGAGTAACAATTCTGTGTCCCTGAGTAACGATTCTGTGTCCCTGAGTAACAATTCTGTGAGTAACGATTCTGTGTCCCTGAGTAACAATTCTGTGTCTGTCCCTGAGTAACGATTCTGTGTCCCTGAGTAATAATTCTGTGTCCCTGAGTAACGATTCTGTGTCCCTGAGTAACGATTCTGTGTCCCTCAGTAACGATTCTTTGTCCCTCAGTAACGATTCTGTGTCCCTGAGTAAACAATTCTGTGTCCCTGAGCAACGATTCTGTGTCCCTGAGTAACGATTCTGTGTCCCTGAGTAAACAATTCTGTGTCCCTCAGTAACGATTCTGTGTCCCTCAGTAACGATTCTGTGTCCCTGAGTAACAATTCTGTGTCCCTGAGTAACAATTCTGTGTCCCTGAGTAACGATTCTGTGTCCCTGAGTAACAATTCTGTGTCCCTGAGTAACAATTCTGTGTCCCTGAGTAACGATTCTGTGTCCCTGAGTAAAGATTCTGTGTCCCTCAGTAACGATTCTGTGTCCCTCAGTAACGATTCTGTGTCCCCTGAGTAACAATTCTGTGTCCCTGAGTAACGATTCTGTGTCCCCTGAGTAACAATTCTGTGTCCCTGAGTAACGATTCTGTGTCGCTGAGTAACGATTCTGTGTCCCTGAATAACAATTCTGTGTCCCTGAGTAACGATTCTGTGTCCCTGAGTAACGATTCTGTGTCCCTGAGTAACGATTCTGTGTCCCTGAGTAACAATTCTGTGTCTGTCCCTGAGTAACGATTCTGTGTCCCTGAGTAACAATTCTCTGTCCCTGAGTAACGATTCTGTGTCCCTGAGTAACGATTCTGTGTCCCTCAGTAACGATTCTGTGTCCCTCAGTAATAATTCTGTGTCCCTGAGTAACGATTCTGTGTCCCTGAGTAACGATTCTGTGTCCCTGAGTAACAATTCTGTGTCCCTGAGTAACAATTCTGTATCTGTCCCTGAGTAACGATTCTGTGTCCCTGAGTAACAATTCTGTGTCCCTGAGTAACAATTCTGTGTCCCTGAGTAACGATTCTGTGTCCCTGAGTAACGATTCTTTGTCCCTGAGTAACGATTCTGTGGCCCTAAAGTCTCTGTGGCCCTAACTCTGTCCCTAATACAGACAGGTCTGTCTCTCTTGAATGACCGGAGGCTAATGGAGAATTCTAAGATGGCCGCGATTTATAGCTCCACCATTACACAGTGCTGGCTGGCTGGCTGCTGATTGGCTAATGCGATCACATGTCATGAATGAATGCATTATGGGTCAGCGCGCCTTGTCTGCGCGCCTTCCCAGAGATCCCCGCTCCGTCGCCACACATGTCGCCGCCATTTAGTTTGCTAATTTTCGGATTCAGCACGAATCGAATTTTTCCTAATATTCGAAACGAATTCCACTTTGCCATGTTCGATTCGCTCATCTCTAGTTAAGATCAATGGTGTCACAAATGCTAAGAAATACAGACAGATACTTATCCATCGTGCCATACCATTAGGAAAGCATGTGACTGGCCCCAAATTTATTCTGCAGCAGTACATCAACACCAAATTTACAGCCAATGCCATTAGGAACTATCTTCAGTGTGAACAAGGAGTCTTGGAAGTGACGGTTTGATCCCCACACAACCCTGATTTCAACATCATCAAGTCTGTCTGGGACTACATGAAGGGACAGAAGGATTTGAGGCAGCCTACATCCACAGAAGATCTGTGGTTAGTTCTCCAAGATGTTTGGAACAACCTACCTGCCAAGTTCCTTCAAAAACTGTGTGCAAGTGTATGCTGTTTTGCAGGCAAAGGGTAGTCACAGCAAATATTGATTTTATTTGGATTTATCTTCTGTTAATTTACTTTCCATTTAATTCCAGTTAAGTGATAAAAATAAACTATTAACACTTCTATTTCTGAAAGTATTCTTCATTTACAGCATTTTTCACACCTGCCTAAAACATTTGCATAGTAGTGTGTCAAAATTCTTGCTGGAAAGCAAAAATACAAAGTAACAGATGAGCTGAAACACTCCCCTTTTGTGGCGAAAATGCTGCTCCAATCCTCCAGTAATGCTGGTAATAGGTGTGAAGGTGTAAGCATTTTTCACATGATGTTTACTGAAGGGCAGGATCAGCCAATGTGCTCCCTAATCCTTCTCAGAGATCACAGAATCAGGTATTTAGGCCTAGGCTAAAGAAAGCCTGAATCAGCGTTTTTTTCAGGGAACAGTAAATATTTTATACCATCTATACATTTAATTTAACCAAGCAGATTTATATTAAAGCTTTAAAAATGTAATCTGATGTTGCCTAAATATCAGTTTTTGTATTACTCTGTACGTTCTTAGACTAGGAGAGAGAGGTCAAAGGTTAGCTTTCAATCAGGCTTGGCTGCAGTGCACATGTAGGAACAGGAAACATGCTAACAGCAGGAAAAAGCTGAATGAACAGAAGGATAACCTCACATGAAGTTGCTGTTGCTTCGCTGTCCAATCAGCAGGCAAGGGGAAGGTTCTTGACCAGACTATGCTGCTTTTGTAGTAGAGGATTAGGATCTAGCTATGCTGCCTGGTTCGCAAAAATGGCTGGTTGGTAAAAAAGGATTACTATATACAGTATGTATAGTAATCTTTAGGGTTAGCACTAGTCAACTGCTTGTAAAAGTGAACAGCCTTTATTTTGCATCCAAAAACCAGGCAAACATACCCAGCTTACTTCAGGAAATTAAACAAAACAGTCCATAACACAGGTATATAACAAATAACACATTAGCTCACAGCCAGTATGCTAGTCCCACAATAGGGTTCAAGGTTCCCGTCTACTTCAAGGTCCAGGAAATTCCACAGGAGCACAGACAGTGTCTCTGTAGCTAGTTCACAGTCCTCTCACAGCTGTGTCCTCTTCCATACCACACCTCATGGACACCTGCTGACAGCTTCCTTCTCTTTTCAGCCCTCCATTGCAGGAAGGTATACCCTTACAGGACCAAAATATCCGCAATCCCGGTTGGAGGCTCTTTCCTACCCAAAAATCTATCTGAGCCTCCAAATTTTGGGTCCTTTATAAGTACTTAACAGTCCTAGGAAAGCTGCACATACAACCTTGCATTCAGTACCCTGCCTAGAGTTAAGCTTTAACATCTGATTTATGGCTCCCCTATAATGAAGAAAAGACTGCGCTTTCTATGCAAATCTGGATAGTTTGCTGCATCCAGTTATTTAGAACTGAGCATAATCACTTATGCTGGGCTGAAGTCTGCTTAATAAACACACCAGGTAAAACAACAGAATAAGCAATCAATGGCTAGAACACTTTTGTTGCAGTAAAATAAATTTTCTCCAGTAACAAAAGACAATTAGAGGATTGTCATATACTGAAATCCCCCTTTGAAAATCACAGCGCACTCATTCAGCGCCGCAGGTATAATGACTGCACCTTCATTTCCTTAAGAAAAGAAAACATGAATTGTCTCCCATTCACATCCTAAGTGATTGTCATCAGCAGATCTGGAGCTCTGATGAAGGATAAATATCCCGGATGGATTACTTAAAGGGGGTGCAAATTTGCCATTGACTATCATTACGTCGCTCGCAGATTAGCTTCTAAACAACTTTCATGGTTCTGCAGTTTACAATTTCTGTAAATTGCACATTTCCCCAAACCATTAGAAGACAGAAACTCGCCTCTTTAAGGAATGAAAAATTAAATGCTCGAGTTATTATGCATTGCTCACAAACATTTGTTTAGTAGGTCACCCCCCTCTCCATTTTTTTTCCCTGTTTTTCATATTTCACGATTTCCATGCATGAATTTCATTACAAAAGCTTTTAAAAATAACAAGTGCGGATGGAATTGTGTTTTCAGTAATATTATTAAATATATATATTTTTTACAGCCTGTTACTGTCATTCAGTTCCCGACTGTTATCATTATAAAAGATACAGCCATCCCAGTGCGTTATTTGTAACATTATCTCATGTTTTACAACATCTCTGCGCAACGGAGAGACGTGCAGTATGAAATATAACTCAGAGAGAAACTTCTTGTTGGCGTTAATGTATAAAAGGGGAATGTGGTTCCATCTCTACTGTCTTTACCCAGCCAAATCCTGACGAACAGCCAATTTCTTTTATCACATTAACACAGCCATGAGGGAAACACATTTGTTCAAGTCAACTACACTAAAGATACCATTACCAATGCAGCATATACATGTTTTATATCAGCTGTATTCTCAGAGTATGAGGGAGCAAACAATATATTAAGACTACACTGACAGTTTATTTAAGAAAAGAAAATTGTCTCTGCAGAGGGACAGAAGTTAGCAATGTA